AATAGAATTTAAAAATATTTTATTAATGTTGCCCTAATTTATTGAAAAATTTTTAGATTTTTTTTTTTTTTAAAAAAAAAAAAATTGTGTAATTAATTAACTTGGCATCATGATTAATCAATAGAATACAATACATGCTTTGATTGCTAATAATTGATCTTGGGAGATTTCGGAAAGGCATCTTGTTAAATACGCCGCATTAACTTTAAGAAGAAATAACTCGCTCCAAAAATGAGGTCGACCAGCTGATGGATCATTTCCCTATTATAAAATTTTTCATTGAAATCTTTTATATAAGATTAAAAAAACAAAAAAGGATAAAAAGTAATTAATTATAACCTTGAAGAAATTTTCGTAAATTTCAACAAATTTTTCTTTGAAAGCTTTAGCACCGTGTGTTGGCCCTGTTAGTTTTCCCAATAACTCGGTTCTTGTTGGAGACTGCATTTTCTCCTACATACATACGTATACTTTTTTCGAAAGCAAGCAAAATGATATACAGTATCACACAAAAAAATTTTAAACGTGTAAAATTGTGAAAATTTAATTAAGATCGAACACATGCTTATTTGTGTAACAAAATTTGAAATTTAAAAACCGATCTGCATTGTACGATGCAAAAATTATGGCTTAAAGAATGAATTCCTTATTAAAGATATAATTACGAAATATCATACATAATAACAATCGAATCTTATGCATACTAACTCAAAGAGAAACACTAATAAATATATAGTTAAAGTAGAAATGTGTAAATAACACTTCTTAATGGCGTTAAATCTCACTAAAGATAATCACTTAGATTAATACGTAGTGGTGACTTGAATAGTGTGCCGCACCGGATCCGCTGATGGATCGAGTTCGGACCCAGATGATATTAGTCCTTGTAATCCTGAAAACGCAAGTTGAAATGATAATAAAATTAATAATAATCATCGAATAATCTATTATTAAGTTCTGAATCAATTTACAAAAATATTGAAAAATATAAATACTGTAAAAATTAATACAAACTATGTACGTAATATGCAAATGCCGTCAAGTAAAAAAGACATCTAAATGGGGTCCCGCAGCAAAAAGTACTTCGTTGCAGATCTACAGATATGGATAACGCTGATGGCAAATTTAATTAATCTAATAGAATTAGAGTTAAAGGGATTAACATAAGTAGTGCTAATAGAATTTAGTTAACATAAGTATTGCTAATGGAATTGGAGTTAAAGGGATTAACATAAGTCATTATCCATGTTTTACTTCGATAATTGAAATTCGTTGTAATTATTACAGCTAATCACATCCACATGACTTATCTATTATTGTATCAAGGTAATTTTAAACTAAAAATTTTCGCCGGAAAAAATATTCGTTACAATAACACTTTCGGTTTATTGAGTTTCGTTTCATCGATGTTGTAATGTATAATATTTCTTTGCTTGTCATGTACTGTACATTCATGTAAATATGATATAAAAAAGTAAATTTCATTTTCTTGATTTTGGAAAATTCAAACATGAGTAAGAAAATACATATTCAATTAATATTAATTAAGGTTTATTAAATCTATGAAAATTTAAAAACTCTTAATAATTACAAGCAGAAAATATATTGCTTTGTTCTTTTAGCCAATGGTGTGGATAATTCCAAAAGCCATTAGCTGAAAGATAATGCACAGTTTTTATTATTGTTAAATATTCGAAACTATTATCAAGATCTCTGATTTATCTGATTCATTATGCAAATCAGATTCATCTGATAATTTCAAGAGTGTAATTTCTCTTTTAATGTCAAAGATTCTAGAGCTCATTTCTTTGACACCCATCTAATTTAAAATAAACTAAACAATCATTAATGCAAAAATATATTTAAATTAAATAAATAAAATAATATACTTAAATAAAAAAAATATAT